ACGAGAGAGAGAGATCGAGAGAGCCTCATTCGTATGGCCAAGTGAACTGGCGGTTCTCACACGGCACCTCATGTGCATCTCCATTTGCGCTGACAGACGCCATGGCATGGTGTCTCAACGCAAACAGCAACCCATCGTAGGGAGGAATAGTGACATGCTCTGCGGGCAGCAAGAGCTGGAGTGTTGCAGGTGCATTCTTAAGCACCAAATCCTGACTCGATCCACACACCTGCATTGCCCCTGGGAACATTTACGAGGCAACACCGACCTTACTTGGTCAACCTTTTAGCATTCACGTAGCTTCCATGCTCGGAAGCGTCTTAATGCGTTGTCTTGTCTCCTCATTATCCTTCTACCTGGCGTGGTTATCAGTGTTGCAAGTAGTTGGTCTTCCGCCTCTTCACGATTTCCTCGCTCTCAAAGTTTACTTCCACACCAGTCTTATCCCACTCACAGCAGCTGCATCTCTTCCCCTAAACTACAATGACGCACTGGCAGTCCCCCCTTGGTAAGGATGGTTAAAAAGGTGTCAGGCCACGAAGGAAGTGGATTAACTTGTTCACGTTCACAGCGTAGTCGTCGTCGAGGAAGACGAAGGTGGGGTTGTAGGGACGACAAAATCGAGAAGCCCATTGGAAGGTGTGGAACATCTTCAGCGACGGGTTGTAGTAGGAGTCCTCGTAGTCGCCAACCAGAAGGTCGTCATGGTCGCGCATTTCCTTCACAAATATCTTATTTGACCTAAACGGAAATCGCCCAAGCTGCAACAGCTTCTGTCCTGCCCTGTTACGAAGCGTGACGTTGAAACCGTCGCGTTGAAACACGTTGCTTAGCGAGGTTCGTGGCAAGCCGACAGAGAAGATGAGGTGGATGGAGATGTTGGTGTGTGGTAGGTGGTAGAGTTGTCGTAGATGCCTCCTCTCCCGAAATTGCACACACCTGACTTGTAGACAATCACCACATGTAGATGTGAGGGTGATGGTGAGGAGGCGAGTGTGCGCTGTGCGAGAGGCAGAGGAGCGCAGGCGTTGGCGGGCACTTGGAGGAAGCGAATGCGTGGGTTGAAGATGGGAGGCTTGAAAGGAAAACTTACCCAAATTAAAGTGTACGGGTTAAGTGACGTTAAGTGTGAGGTCAAATCTGTTCAAAGGGTGGCACTTTGCATGAAAAACACCGCCGACATCCCTGCTGTAAAATACACACTCACCTGCGAAATCGG